ACCGCTGGCATCACAGGGTTCTCCACCACCTGTACCATTACCATAAATCATATAAGAAACTCCAGAACTCACAGAAATAAACAGAAACCATCTTAACTAAGAAAAAAATGGGGTGGATCATCGAAGCAGATGAGTTTAAGATTCTTTCAAAATTCAGAAACCACCTTAACTAAGAGAAAACCGACAAAAAGAATAGGAATCGTGACCACCCAGATAGTCAGAAATTGATTGAGATCACAGAAAACAAACCGAAGATCGCCTTAACATCACAGAAACAAGTGATCTAAGTGAAATTCAATAAGATAATCTCAAAATTGACCGAAAACGATCTCAATCATTGCGACAGACAAGCATAAATTCTCAAATCGGACCTTGTGAACGGATCCGGGATTGACTCTGTTGAGAACGTTGCAGAGGATGAGGCCGTTGCGGAGGGCCAAGCAGAACTCCTCCTCCGACGGCTCCGACGGCATCGTCTCCGCCGCGCCTTGGTCCATCTGCCTCAGCCATGCCGTCGCTTGGTACCTTCTCGCGGCTGATACAAAATATTTTGAATTTTTTTTTAAACCAAAAAATGAACATAAATCTCTCTCTCAAAGGAAACTTAAAGACGGAAACAATTTGGACCACAAAATTGACCAATGCCCCAAACTTAAAACTTGTATGGGCTTCGATAAGCCCAAACAATGTGTCAAAAAATATATAAATGCCACGTTTTAAATGAATAATTTAAATAAATGAAAGTATAACGTTTTTTTATTGAAATAAAACATATTCGGATCATTTTAAGAATAATTTAGGTGTAGTGTAGATTATTGTAATTAATATTCTCTTTATATTATCCTTTTATAAATTTTTATATATTTTTTCGTCTAGTTGAAAAAATGTGGAATGTGAGGAAAACACAAAAAATAAATGCATTTTATAACATTATTATTCGAGTCCTCCAATTTTTATTGGTACTGATGAGATTGATATATTACGTCAGTAATATATATTAGAAATGCATTTTTCTATAGAAACATTGTTTAGATGCCACACATCTCTAGCACCTTCTAACAAAAGGGTCAGAACCCAATATCCAATCAAACATTTTTAAAATTTTGTACTAAATTTTATAACCATGATTACTTCTAACGTGTATACATGGATATATGTGTGTATATATATATACACAAGGAACATAAAGTGACAATAGTTGTGGTGGGTATACCACCCCATGAATGCCATACCATAAAGCAAAGTTCTAAACAACTTTAGAAATATGATCCCAACATTTTGAATTATTATATTTTTTTTTATCTTTTGCCAATCACAACGTATAAAAGTATAAAACCAACGAATGATTCAAAGTAAATAAAAAAAATACATTGAAATTCAACTCTATTCATTGATCCACCATAAAAAAAAACGAAGCTGTTCTTTTACTATCACTAGATAATTTTTCAGACGTCCGGTTTTAACTATAAACTCATCTACTTTTCATAAATCATACACGAATTACATCATAATATCTTTTTATCCATTCATATATTTTCTAAAATGATTATTTATGGAAATCTGATATCATTTTAGATCTATATGTATATATAATGAGGAAATGAAGATTTAGTACACCGACCTGCCTCTTGAGCTTTCCTTAGAGCAAGCTCATAGTCACTGTTCCTTAGTTCTCCTTTGCTGCTTGACGCTAAAGGCTTTTCTTGTGGCATTCTCTTCTCCTCTCTCCCTTTCGTCTCGGATTATTATAAAGTTCCTGTGAAATCGAAATTAGTAACTTAAAAAGAAAATATTATCGAATATTACTATTATAAACAGTTAAAATTTGAGAAAACTGCATGTTATATAGCTCATATATAGAACCACCATTTACTTATATCTTATGCATTACCTTATATACATATATACATATATATATGCATTGATATCATTATCATCATCATAAACTGATGAAGAAACCTTCGAACAATTCATAGGATCGATCAAAGTATACATACATACCTTTGGTCAGAAGCCAAAGCTCAAAGCCTCAAAGGGACAAAGAGAACCTCGTCGTCTGATGTTTGCTTAAGGTTATATCGTATTTGGGAGGACAGCGAAGAAATTCATTGACCAGAAAAAGAAAATGGAGAATCAGATCAAAAGACAGGAGACAGTGAAGCAATTGCTGAGAGTTTATGCTCAAAAGCAAACACGAATCGTTGCTTTGTTCTGCCCGAACGTTAATCTAAAAGCGAAAATTCAAATAAAATAGAAAAAAAATTACCTCAACAAAAATTACGGAGGAGAAAGGACCTGAGAATGAGCTTCGCAGAAACTAGACAGCCGCAGAGAGAGAGAGAGAGAGAGAGAGAGAGAGAGAGAGAGAGTTGTGTATAGATTAGGTGATTTACTGCCTTTTGCACTTTTATAACGGGTGGAAACTTATTCTTTAATTATACTGTAAAACATAAATACGCCATGTTCGTTTTCTTAAAATAAAAAAAAAACAACAAAATAAAAACTATATATATGAGTATAATTTACTAATTTGAGAAAATAAGGGAACACTTATTTTAAAAACCCTTGTTCTATTTTTTTTATTATTGAATCTTGTATATAAATATCAGGATTCTAACAATAAAGGAAACATAAAACCATATATAATCATATGTGCGCGTGTGACTTTTCTGTTATATGATATAATGAAATTGATAAACCTTCCGGTTATCGTTACGTTATGACATTTTTTTTCCCTGGCTATAATGTAAGAATCAGAGTATTCTGAATGTGTTGACTTTGTGCCTACGTGGCGCGTATCGGGACAAAGTCAGCTAGTGCCAAGTCTGGTCTTCAGTGGGCCTACATGACAGTGGACCGAACCGCATGGTCTGGCCCAAATGATGTCATTTTTATTTATTTATTTAGGGATGTTTTATGTTTTTGGAATTTTTATCCTCGTAATTGTTTATACCGTATTTTCTATTGTTTTAAATAATTAATTAATAGCCAAATAGAATCATATTTTTGTGGCAATCAAGTGCTTTAATGTTTTTGGTTAGGTGAAACCATCCCTTTTTAATGAATAAAGAACACGAGAATTTCTTTCCGTAAAAAGAAAAAAGAAAAGAAAAAAGAAAAGGGTCGTCAATCTTTTGAAAATGGACAAGAGGTAAAATTACTTGAAACATGACTAGAGATACGTTACATAATTTTTACTTATCATCACATATTTTGGTAAAAAAAAAAAAAGAGGTTGTATTCTATTTATAAAATAAATTAATCTCAAATAATAGAAAAAATTATAGTAATTAAATACGTTTTCAATTTAGGTTATTTGGATTCCATTAGAATGTTCCAACCAGTTGTTTTCGATCGATTTTGCGGTTATTACTATATTTGAATTCATGGTAGGCTAAATTATATTTTAAAAAATATCACCTAACTATTTTGTTTTATAAATTAGATTTAGGTTATGTGATATATCTTTGTTCAATTTTATGAAGTCCAACCAAAATATTAACCTATATCTAATGGTAGGACAATAATAAAAAAAAAACACTCACAACAATAGCCATTGGGTATTATAGAAACGGCATAGGGATAGGGTTGGGAGAACGTTGGATCCAATGGAATTCAAATGATTACGGGCGGCACAAAAAGCTTGTTGTTATGTTGGCTTTTTCACATTCTAGTGGACCATTTAATTAGTACTAATTCTATATATATGTACCAAAACATTATTCCAGAGTGCATTTTCCACAATAATAAGAGACCTCACGAATTACACAATTGATCAAACTTATTAGAAAATGACATATTCAACATAAAAGCTACAAGTTCAAAATAAATATGATAAATAACGTGCATATTGAACCAATAAATATTTCAATTAGTTCACGTAATATTTATGTTGAATAAAATAAGTAGAATCGAAAATAACTTACAATTGTAAAACTTGTAAGTTGTAACATGTTCATCTACAATATGTACTTACACACACACACACACAGTATTGTTCATAAAAAAACAGCAAAAGCCAATGACATTGGCAAAAACAAAAGACTTGTGTCGACGAATGGATAAATGATAAAGATTTGATAACTAAAATTACAATAACAAAATAAAAAAAAAAACAATCACTTGGCTTCATATAGAAGTGTGTGTTGGGACGTGACAAAAGGCAATTAATTAGGTTTATTAAAAGATTAAAAATAACCATTACTACTAATCAAATTACTGTGAGGTTAAGGGGGAAAATGTGATGATTCGCTTTTTGTGTTGGTCGTTGGTCCATTAGTTCCCCCATCATTCGCGCATGAAATCTGAATCTCCCTCTTAAGTGTTTTTGCCTTTTCTTTTCCTTTAATTGCGCGTATTTGTCTATTTATTCTACACTCTCTCTATATTATTTTATTTTTGTGTGCGCAAATGCTAATACTAACTACTGAATCCTATTATTATTATTATTATTATTATTATTATTATTATTATTATTAAATTCTAAATTGTATATACCTGTTGTATAAATGTTATCTATATCATCTTTCTCTTGGCGACCAAAAATAAAAAAATTCTATAATCTTTACCAACAAAAAACAAGAATTTGTATTATATAATTCAAAATACACTTCATTTGAGCGTACACTTGACGCAAATGAATTTATAGATATATTATCGACCGTCCATTTCTGAGCAATCATCAAAATTGCGGAACCATAGAGCATACCAAACCGAAAATTATCCAGACCATACCCTCTCACTCAAGGAGAAGCTTTCTTTTGAACAATAAAAGTCCATACAGCTCTCTTCTGGTGTACATAACCATGAACCGTGGTTATGAGCAACAACCAAAATTTTTCAAGACTTTTTCAAAATTTTCGCCAATCAAGAAATTAAAGACCATATCTGGCTCGAACCGGGGAAAAAAAAATACTAATCTCATTACACGGTTTTCTCCCGTGCACATCAACGGCTGAGAATGGGCTTACTTGGGAGAGTCGGAACGACTCCAATATGATTGAGAGTTTACTCGTCGTCTGTTCCGAAATAACGGTCACCGAACTCGCCCATACCGGGAACGACTCTGAAGTCATCGTTTAAACCGAGTTCGATCTCAGAAGTAACGATCTTTATCCTCGGGAACCTCTTGCACACCACATGAACTCCCTGAGGCGCCTGTTACGTGACAAGACGTGAATTTAAAAAAACAAAGCTAATTAGAGAAGGAATGAGAGATGTAAAGGTGGAGACTTGATTCAACTTACAGATATTAGATTGAGAAATATAATGTTGGATTCAGGAACACCCTTGCTTATGAGCAGTTTTATTGCTTGCACCGCCGAGTTTCCTTCACAAAAAAAAAAGTTTTTTATATTCCGGGTATACTTCAATGGAAATGCGATGGGTTTTCCATGGAGAGCCCAGAAATGCGATGAGACGAATCAAGTTGAAACGGAGAAGAAAACTAAAACCTGTCCCAAGGATTGGATCCAGCAAAAGCACGTGCCTCTCTGAGATGTCTGATGGCAGTTTTTCGTAAATAAGCTGCGCCGTTGGTTCAAGCATTTACCAGAGAACAGTAAGGAGAGGAGAAGAGAGGCGAACCGATATTGTTCCTTAAAGCACACACAAAAAAAGGACAGAGAAGATAAGAATACAGACCTGTTGACCATTGTCGCCTTCTCTATGAATCAGAATCTTCCCGATCTTGATACCTTTGCAGCAAGCACGAAGAGCATTCTCCATGCTCTCACCACTGAAGGGTTTTGTTAAATGCATTGATAACATTGAATTATGAAATCAAAAGATGGAGACTTTAGATGGTCTCTGCCATTTTCAGATAGTGTAACACTACTGTTTGTAGATTTAATATCCTGGGTTGCTTTGTTTTGCTCACCTTCGTATAACTGAGACACCGCATAGCCTCTTACAGAAGTCCACACCCGAATAAACCGATCCTAGTTTACAACCAAAAGAAAAAAAAAGGAAAACCGAAAACCAAAGGCTAGCTAAGTTATCCACGAGTTTCATGCAGTGGAGTGACAACTGCAAGCGCGCGCACAGACACGCACATAAAAGCATTCACACGGAACGGAATAAAATTTGGTGAGCTTTACCGGTGGGAGTGATCACCTGCTTCTCTGTAAAAGGAAGGTGCCCGAGGCCATGTTCAACCACCTGGTGAAAAAAGAGAGAAATAGAATGAACAATGCAGACCAAACGAAACTCTGAAACTAAATTCCACCAACATAGGTTAAGAGATAGCACCTACCAAACGAATCAATCTGTCAGAATAGAAGACAAAATCATGGGTCGTAGTTTGAGCGTCTCGTATGAGAGTATGCATCCCACGTATCTGCAAGTAATGGCAAAGGCCAAGTTTCAAGGATCAATGCATTTGTTTACTAGCCGGAGAAATAATGTCGGTTGATTAGACAAAGGGAAGTAAAAAAGAACCTGAAACGTTGAGTGAATAACATAGAGGTTTGGGTATATTTTACAGAGGTCATGTTGACCGAGCTTTGTGCGGATGTGTTGCACAATCAAATCAATGGCAACATGGTTATCACCTCCACGGGGAATAATAATATCCGCGTATTTCTTTGTTGGGAGTATGAAATCCTCAAACGCGGGCTTGACAAACTTAGAGTACTGTATTGCCGTTTTATATATCAGCACCAAAGAGTAAAAGGAAAGTTATTCAAAAGGAATTCAAACTCTATTCTCCAAGACACAAAAAAAATGTAAGCAAACCTGGTCAAGTACTGTGGCAATATCTCTACCCTTCTGAACAGTATCACGCTTGATCCTCCTGGCTAGACGAACATCAGCATCTGCATAGAGAGTGTCATGACGTAAAATGAAAATCTGATGCTTTATGTGCTTACAGAGATACTGAAACCATTTATGCTACATGAGTAAGAGGATTAAGAATAAGTGGTCCGTATAGATTAAGACTAGACCTATATCTACGAATATCTTCATGTTCATCAGCTCTCGTACACGAGGGTCATGAAAAATAAGTATCCCTTCCAATATTATGACATCAGAAGGATTCACCTGCAAATATTTCATAAACAATGAATAGTTCACTCATGTTGCTCCAATAGGCATGGATGAACATACAATGTAATCTGAGAGCAAGACACACGGATATCAGAAATGATACAAGTGAATCAATCATTCATCAAAGAATCCAGTCTTTACAAAACAAGGTCAATCGTAAGTTTGAGTTTCTGCATGCATTTAACAAGTGATTGTTCAGCAAGAAGAAAGAAATGTTTTCTAAGAAAGACGGCCACGGAAATCTTATACTATTTCGGTCCCCAATAGAATAAAAGGATGGGAAAGAGGTTAGAGTATGTGGATGTCCAAGCATTAGAAAAGTGCATTTGTGTTCTGTCAAATATGAAAGAAAAACTTACCCTTCTAGGAGGGAAAACATTATTCTTGTAGCTCTTGAAATCATAGTTTGGGATATCTACTGCTTGTCCTTTCCTCAGTTTCTCCATGGAACATAACAGTTGCTCGGTGTCAAAAGCATCTACAAGAAAAAAAAAAAGCAATAACTCTCTGTAAACTGAGGCCAATTAGACTTATGTCCTACAGGTTTTCGAGAAGTGCTCACCAGGATGGTCGAAATTGTAGTCATTAGCTCTTGCAATTTCCTCTTCCGTCAGATTATGGTAAAAGGAATCCTGTCATAGGTTTTAAGCTTATGCATCAGAGCGGCCCGAAACTCACAATATGACATATGAGTCAATCATTCGAGTAACACTATATATCTACTAGTCAACAACTGCAAAACAAAAGCATACCCATCACGATCATGGAATTAGAGCTAGAGTCCTAATGGCTACAAGGTGTCCACATTCTGAGTACAACCCTCACCTGATTCACAACTACGACCCTTTGATCGTGAAGTTGCTGTATAATCATATCACAGACGGTGGTTTTACCTGATGCCGCTCCTCCAGCAACTCCTGGAACATCGCAAAAGTCCTATCAGGCTTGAAATTCTTATCTCTCAACACATAAATATACTCTGTAAGCAGATGAAACATATTCCAGATTTACTAAGCAACATTTCCAATGAAAGGAGATGGCAATTCTCACCGATCACGAAAGGTTGCCCGTGATGATCTTCGTCTGCAGAGGCAGTCATCTGCTCGGTTCTCGAACCTAAGCCATTCAATTGGTGAAATCCTGAGAAATGGACCTTTGATGATGCCTCTATCATATCCACCGCTGATTTCGAAGCCATTTCTACTTTCTACCACACCAACACAACAAATACAATCACAACTCACCAATGTGAAATAAAGTTGGGAGCTTTATACTTCACATTATCAGCCATCTACAAGCATACAAACAACAAAGGAACCCTGCTCTTGCTTTGTATGATTTCGCAGCCACAATTCCATGATGCCCATATCCCCAGATTCCAATTTCGAAAGCAAGAAAATGATGAAAATCTAAAGCTCATGTCATGATCAACCCAGATACCTCAGTTCTAAATAAGCTAAAACCGATCCCAATAGAAAACGCGAAAGAACAAAAAACAATTACTTGCAGAAAAAGAGCGAAGCATGAGCCTGAAAATCGGGATAAATCGACACATGCAAAGAACACAAATCTTCGATGATAACTAGAATCAGATGAATCAAATCCAACATGAAGAAAGCTTGATCACCTTGCAACAATGGCGATCGCCGACTGCTATCCCCCAGAACCACGAGATTCAACCAAAACGCCCAAATTGGAAGACAGAGCGAATCCAATCAGAGAGAGAGAGAGAGACGCACGCGCGGTGCCGGTGAAACTCTGATGAACAGACAACAACTTGGTTATATATATACGTACATGGGGATATGATATATGTTTTGTGTGTATATATGTGCATAGGCGTGTGGAGAGAGAGGGAGGGTGTGCAGCGGCGGAGGCGGGTTTTGCCAAAACCGGAGGAGGGTTCGATACATTTACGAGATTGCCCTTCACACAGATTTCGTGGCCCGACCTGACCTGCCATTTGACGACAATGGAATGGACGCAGTGGCAATTCTCGTAATTTCCCACGTGTTTCAGGCGGTATCACAAAAAAACAAAAACAACGTCGAGGTTTGGGATCGAGGATCCGCGTCAGCGCCAACTCAGAATGTGGCACTCATTTTTTGGAATGCGGGCCATTTCTTTTTTGAAAAATCTTATATGAAAAAAAGAAAATTAAAAGTTAATTTTTTTTTCTAATGGTTCCACGTGAGTTAGCCACGACATGGTACATATATCAATTTTATGTGATTATGTAAAATAATTTTTTATATTTTTTTAATCGAAAAATTCACGTGAGCTTTCGACCCAATCTACATCCTTTGAATACGTATTTTTTATTGCACCTCTCCCCTTACATGCGAGATCGAACGCTCAATCTAGACATATCTTGTGGCACTTCCAAAACCGTTGGACCACAAACATATGGGTAATAATTTTTGATGTTTCAAGTTAAAGGAGAGAATTTCTGGAAATGTTTGCTGTAATACTCTGTTGATCAAAGGATCAAAGGATCAAAGGACAGTTGCTTAAATACAATAGGAAAAAAATTATCTAATAAACCCTAACCTAACCAAACTAATAATTAAGCATAATTATTTCTAATAATACTTTTACTAATAATAATATGAATAGATAAATGAAAATGAGTTTTTCTTTTGTGTTGATGAGAATGTATTTATTCTAATTTTTAGAGAAATATTAACTATACGCTATATATAAATATTTAAAGGCTTCTATATTAAGTGATTATATTTGTGTATTAGTAAATTTGTCACAGGTTACTGTACTATTCATCAATTATTTTCTAAAAACATTGGAAACAAACAGTTTAGATGGGATGATCCATAAAATCCATATATATATATATATATATATATATGTATGTATATGCGTGTGTGTGTGGTTCATGCAGTCTCTATGCACGTAAAGGAATCACCTTTACGCAAAGCCCAAATGATAAATTCTCAAGCTTTCCCCAAATTATCGAAAACAATTGAATATTATTGTCTGGATTTATTGGAATAATTCTCTTCTTTCTTTTTCTTTTTTTTTTGCATTGAAATGCTTTCGCATAGATATGGGATCTTTGAGTTGCTTATCTGATCATCTGGACGCAGGATTTCGCGATTGGGCCGCGAAAACCGGCGTCTGCGTTCCTTTCCGCAAACGCCAGAATCGCTTCCCTCGATCATCACTACGATTTGACCGTTTAAGTTCGAACCATATATATATAGTGATGTAAAACGGGCTGGCTCGGACCGGCCCGTCTCGAACCAGCTCATTTTTGGCTCAGCCCGTTCGGCCCGTTTTTTTACGAGCTAGAAAAACTCTGACCCAGACCAAATTGTCCGAGCTCCGAGCCGACTCGCGAGCCAGCCCATTTTTATCTAATTATTCAAAAAAAATTTAAAATTACATGAAAATTAATCATTTAAAGTCTACATAACAATATTTTGAAGTCATACAATATAACATAAAATATTTAACATAACAATCCATAAAACTATATCTAAATCAAGAAAAATTAACAAAACCAAACCAACATAAAAAAATATAATACACCAACAACATCAAAATATAACAAAAAATATACATCAACATCAACATAAAAAGTGTCATACATCAACAACATCAAAATATAACAAAAAATATACACCAACATCAATATATCATGAATTTTAATTTGCTATATAAACAGAAGAAGTGTAGCTCGTGAGCCGGCTCGCGAACCGACCGAGCTAGCCCGGATGGGCTCAGACTCGTCGCGAGCTGGCTCGTTCGGCCCGTTTTTATTTGGTCTTTTATTTTTTCAGCCCAGCTCGATAAAAAACGAGCCAACCGCGAGCCAGCTCGCGAGCCGGGCTCATTTTGACATCACTATATATATATATATATATACATGGACGGATCTATTTATGTATAAGTGGGGGCACTTGCCCCCTTCACATTTATAAAAAAAATATATTACTTATAATTTGTAACAATGTCCTCATTAAGTGGTCTCTAAATCTTTGTTTTCAATTTTTTTCTTCTCCCAATCTCACATTCTCTTTCATTTTTAATTTTTTTTTCCAACTCCAAATTAATTCTATTTAATCTTTTATCAAATAAAAAAATTAAAAATTGTTCACTTATATAACAATTTTGAATCCAGCTAAAATAGTTTGTACAATCGAATTGATAATCAACTTTTAAATGATTGTATAGTTTGTTTTATATAAAAAAATATTTCAAACAATTATAAAGAAAGTTGTTATCGATAGATTTTAAAAAAAGAAAATTAAGAAGATAGAATTTAATAGTAAAACAAAAAATATTATTGTGATGATATATATATATATATATATATATATATTTTTTTTTATAAACGATTATATATTTTTATTAACTTTTTATATTATATATAATATTTTTAATTGTTACCCATTGAAAAAAAAATTTGGATCCCGCAACTGTATATATATACATATATTACAATCCTTACGTATGGTATGGAATGTGAATCGTCTTAATTTTGCTTTCGATGGAAAGCGAATGGTCTCTCTTCCTGCAATAATGATCTGTATTTTAACACCACGAGGTCAGTACTCTTGTCTAAAGGAAACAGTGAAGTGAAGCTTCTTCTCCAATGGCGGACGAAAAGGCAGACAGAGACATTCTCTTCCTTAAGCTCAACGGAGCCGAATATGGCAAGGAAAAATCCGTACGGCATTATTCATCGAATCACCAGATGCTACTTGTAGGAGAAGGAGATTTCTCCTTCTCACTCAGCTTAGCAAAATCCTTCGGCTTTGCTTCCAACGTTTGCGCTTCGTCTCTCGATTCGTACGGTACGCATTAATTGTTCTCTCGATCTTCATGTTCACATGCATGCTTTTAGGGTTTCTCTGTTGTTTTTTTTTTTGGTTTTGCTTTCATTTTCAGTGATTATCTTTCATCTGGCTCGACCATGTAAAAGTCGGCTTTTGAACTAACAAAGTCTTGAGCTTCAATATCATTTTCTGGTCGGATGTCTGATTATTATTTCATAGTATTTCTTGGTTTCCTTTGGTTCCTTATCTCTGGTTCTTTTGTAGCTGCTAGTTTTAGTTTATTTTCAGCTGTTTTATCATAAGATTCAAGGTCATAAGTAAGAGGTGTATACTTGATCTGGGTTTTCGTTTTAGCAGATGATGCAGTGAGAAAGTACAAGAACGCGAGATCAAACCTGGAAACTTTGAAGAAACTTGGAGCTTCTCTATTGCATGGTGTGGACGCAACGGATATGCATCTTCATCCATGTCTTAAGACGAGGAGATTTGATCGCATCGTCTTCAACTTTCCTCACGCGGGCTTCCACGGAAAAGAGAGTGATGCAAATCTTATTCGGTAAGTTCTTATCCATTTCATGTTCCAAGGTTTAAGGAACTGATATGTATTTTATCATTCTCCCACATGAAAAATCTGGTGCAGGAAGCACAGAAAACTGGTAGGGGGATTTTTCAGTTGTGCAAGCCGGATGTTGAGGGAAGAGGGAGAGGTTCATGTCTCTCACAAGAACAAAGCACCCTTCTGCAACTGGAATCTCGAGGAACTAGCTAGCAGAAGCTGTCTTGTAATGACTAAACGTGTCGAATTCAAGAAGGAATATTACCCGGGTTACCAGAACAAGAGAGGAGCTGGCTCTAGATGTGATGAACCCTTCATTTTGGGATCTTGTAGTGTTTTTATGTTCAGATTTTCTTCCATAGCCAAGGAGATTTATGCAGAGAAGATTAAATGGAGAAACTTGGGGAGCAAGAAAGCCAATAATTCTCGTCGGATTTTAACTCCAGCCATGAATGATCAACCGGAAGACTGGTCCCGTCTTTCTTATCGCCTGGAGAGTCTTCTGGATCAAGAAGTAAGGCAAAGGCCCTATCCATATGATATTCGGAATAAGCTCAGTAATGATATTCAGATGCAATATCAAGGTGTTCCAGATGGATTAAGACAAAGACCCGTCTCTGATATAGGGTTTCACCAAAGCATGACTCGTCATATGCAGTTCGAAAATGCTTCAGCCCTAGCAAGGCAGATGCCAGTCTTATCTAGTAGTGTTATGCTGTGCCGAGAAAAACGGACTCAGGCAAATGAGGACAGGTATGTATACTCTGCAAGAAACCGTCTTCTACCTCGAGATTTTCCTCTTGAACCGAGTCTTAATCGCCGAGAAGAAGAGTTGTATGGAAGAGGTTACGTCCATGGTTTAGGGACTCGAGGTCTTGAAGGGCGCCTTTATGAACCATTGGACTCTTTTCACAACCGCCCTTCAAGCTTTCCTGTAATACCAAAGTCACGTTCTCGAGGTCATCAAATGTACAATGGGGATCTGCCAAGAACTTCAACAAGCGAGAGGTAAAGTCTTTGAAAGTTGCTTTTATATATATATATATATACACACACACATGTATACTGTTGTTGCACATTCTGAATTCTAAAGTGGTTGGAGTTCTACAGGTACTGCAGTCTTGAAAGGTTCAATGTTGAGAATCACAGAAGAATCAAAGCAGGTTTTGCTTCCCCGCCAAGGCGAAGGCGAAGGCGATGGCATTCGTTTCAAGAGACGCAGTAAGAGAAGATAAAGAATGTGTAAGAGCGCAGAACCATATATACGATCTTCATACATCTTTTGTCATTGAAGAGTTTATCAGATCATATAATATATAATCATAGACAGGCCTCTTCAGATATGTTTTGTCTGGAAACTATATGTTAAGCGATATTCCAAGTTTGGTAACATTCTAGTTTAGCGATCTTAGTGTCTTGCTATAATTTTGCCAACTACAAATCCAAAGCCAAGACTATGAAAATTGCGAATGGAACATCTGGTAACCTCTTTGCTTTCTCCACAAGTTAGGGTTTCCTCACAGACATACTGTTGGAAAAATCAATCCAAAGACATAATTATTTATTCTGTGTAAGGGCTGGCGTATGTAACTAAACTATAACTGAAGTTATATATGTATATATAACTAAACAGCCAGGAGTTGGTGGTCTGGTGTTTGTGTTTGTGGAACACAGAGTGCTAGCCACGTCCAAAGTTCGAATCCTGGCAATCACATATTATCAAAAAAAAAATGTATATATAACTAAACATCCATGGCAATGGGATTCAGTTTCTTGATCAGTTTCATAATCGTCCCTTCCCAATTGCTATTTTCCAAGGTCAAGCAGTTTCAGACAACAATAAATTTGCCAAAAATGGTATCTTCGAACAAACTTCGAACCAAAACCACAGATCTCTCTGTGAAATCTTGGGCATTTCGTTTCTTTAGGGTTTCAGTATAAATCTCGTCTGACCACCCGAATCCCCTATCCTCCTATCAGCTCCCAGACGATCGGACCTTGCAAAGATGAGCCCCTTCGCCGGAGTTCTCTTCCTTTGCTTCGTCTCTCTCTCTGCCGCCGTAAATGCCGAAAGCTCCGGTCTGATATCCGATCTCTGCAGACACTCTGAGGATCCCGTTTTCTGCGTCTCGAGCCTCCAGACTCCTCCCGATTCCGGCGAGCGCGCCTCCACGTCGAACCAGGTCGAGACCATAGCGATCTCAGCCGCGTCGGCGAGCGCCTCCGCCACTTCCGTCTACATCAAGGAAAAGCTCCGGCGACAGGATCTGGAGCCGGCGACGGAGGACACTCTCGAGGATTGCCTGAAGAACTACCAGGACGCGGCGGAGCAGCTCGACGACTCCCTTGCCGCCCTCCTCGCTAACTCCTACGCCGACATCGACGCTTGGATCGACGCCGCCATCAGCGCGGTCGAGACATGCGGCAGCGCGTTGGAGTCACGCGCCGGGAGCGATGACGAGCTCTCGAGGAGGAACGCTGTTTTCTTCAAGCTGTGCAAGAACGCTGCGATGATCAATAAAATGTTGACTTGAGAGGACAATCCAAAAAAAAAACACACACACACAATGGATTGATGAGTTGTGATTCTGAATGTAGAGAGTTATTGTTGTATTCGACGAATGGTTAAGTAAGTATATATTGAATGTCTCAAAAGGAACGACGGGAGGCACTGTTGAATAAATTGAATCGAAATATTATTATAATTTTTTAAAATTAGTTAGTTAGTGTTACGAGTGTTGTAATTCATTAAACACCAATACTATATATTTCTTTTTTTTTTAAAATCTAGCTTTCAGTTATATAAAACTTTGTACCAATTAATTGAATCGTGTATATGCTATATAACACGAGTCGAGACCCAATAAACGATTTTTATTGTGATTATTATTTTTTAGAAAAAAATCCTAAAAATTCTTAAACTTCTAATTTGTAGTAATATTAATTCATAAACTTGTAGAGTTATCTATTAATTCTCAAACTTACAAAATTGAACACGTTAAATCCTGAACTTGTTAAACGATTCTATAATCGTCCATAACATTATTTGATAAAAAAACGCTACGAACGATTATAGAACACTTTAACAAGTTAAAGATTTAACGTGTTTTGCAAATTAATAGACAGATCTACAAGTTTAGGAATTAATATTACTCCAAAATACAAGTTAAGAAATTTTTAAAGTTTTTGTGAATAAAATATGAGTATCTTTTAATTTGTAAATTGATTATGAATTGTTTTATAAAAAATTATATTAAAAAGAATATTTCTAAATTAAATGTATTTTTTTTCAAATATCTTTTTAATATATTTTTTTCTCAAACAATTCATAATCAATTTAGATTTTGAATATTTAATAGAAAAACTACCACTATTAAATTATTTTTTCTATACCAAAATATAGGTGTTATTATAACAAAATGTACTGATGTGATATTGCATGTTTTTTATAATTTCAAAAAAGTTCGTGTTTCCTCTATTTTAAAATTATTGTAAAAGATTTTAAAATTTGGGTATAAAATTATATAACTAAAGTCGTTATATATATATTTATATGTGTATTTTTACATGATTCACGCTATGTCATAATTTGGCAGTTCATAGTAGTACTTAGTTAGGCTACTCCTCTTCTTGTAATTCAGTATCTTATCTTTTTATTTTTTTAGAGAAAAATCCTAAAAATTTCTGAACTTGTATTTTGAAGTAAAATTAATTACTAAACTCTTAGAGGTGCATATTAATTCTCAAATTTACAAAATTGAACATGCTAAATCCTGAACTTGTTAAATGATTCCGTTATCGTCTATAGTGTTATTTGGTTAAAAAAACCAGTTAATCGATACGACGTGGCGTTTGACGTGACGGACCAACTCAGAAAATTACCGCCACGTTACGCGCCACGTCGGATCGGTCAACTCGTTTTTTTACCAAATAACGCTATAGACGATTATGGAAGCGTTTAACAAGTTCAGGATTTAACGTGTTCAATTTTGCAAATTTGTGAATTAATAAATACATCTTCAAGTTTAGGAATTAATATTAATCCAAATTACAAATTCAAGATTTTTTAGGATTTTTTACTTATTTTTTTAATTTTTCATGACTTTTCCTGAACTTAAACAACATGATGTACAATGGGAAATGGGCCTAGTGGACAACATGTTTTACGTTCACACAAAGACAAGTATAAAAGCCCAATAAGGAGATGGACTAATTGTATTGACATTACTATTGATGGGTAGTAAAAATTGCTTATAGACAAAGTGAAAAAGGTGGACTCTGAAATACTTCACATGAGCAATGGTGGAGGGAGATCTACTCAACCCACAATGCAATTTTTTTTTTTTAAGTTGGAGCATAGACCAAACTAAGATTCTACGGTTCACCTACCATGTCCAATTGTCTATACACTTTTATTCACGTTACTAGAAAGTTTAATAATGTTACTACAGAAACTAAATCAAATGTATTAGCGTCATGAAAGTCAAAAAAGATCAGCTACTTAGTTGATTCATCCAACTTTCATGGATGCAAATCTTTTATTCAATGATCAATCTGGACTCGAATCTCTCTGCCACAAACTAAAGCCACGTTATAAGAAAAGTAATAATTTTGATACGATAAATAAAATATATATCCAATGTTTAGAAAATGGGCAAGGAACAAACTCTGTTCATTCAACAAGCATCAGGTCTTTCATTTTCGGACTATTATATACTATATGGTGATTGGGTGGCAGTCCAATTAAAGAGTTGACCAAGTAACTGATATTTGTGGAGATGTACGGTCGTGATCATCGGAGACGTCACTCAGAGAGGTTACTTGTAAGATGGGAGTCTTTCTACAGATTCCAGGTGCTATGTCCCACAAAAACAGATACCTTTCTTGTCTACTGGGACAACAATTCTCAAGTAATATATATATATAGTTTAATTGATCCCTTTCTTTTTTTTTTTTGTTTAAATTTAATTTCTTAATGTGGATCATATCTCTACCACTTAAAAATATATTTTCTGTTTTTTCTAAAGCTACATGATCTATTCGAACAGGATACTTTGTAAAAAAAAATCGAGAGTAAAAAAGGGATATCGAATACCTTATTGACAAGAAAAATAAAGAATAAGAATATTTGAGTCCTAGGATACATGATTGTATCCACTAACATTTCAAGTGTTGAGAAATGTATTGGGTTAGATAATATAAAGCACAGGAAGAAATTCGAACAACTTGCACATCAATATGAGATCACATGATTAAACTTGCACTCAAGAGAGGAATTCAAGATTCCAAGTCTTCAAAGATAGGAGACCCTACTTTTCCAAAGGTAGCTTTCTCCTCTTTGCAAACCAAAGAATCTTTATTTTCTCTCTCTTTTTATTTTTTGAAATATCTTAGGAGGCATTTATATTTTATCAACCAACTTGGTTAATTATCAGATGGCTTTAAAATAGCTAAAGGGACACCATTTGAGATAGAGACACTCAATAGCTCTTTTCTTTTTTTTTTTTCTTCTAGAAAAAATGAAACAAACAATCATATTTATATATTTATCAGCTCTAGTAGAAAAACAAACATGACAAACAAAATCAACCAAACCAAGACCCATAAACTAATATCTTATTCTCCACTAAATGAATGAACCAATCGAATACTTTTCCGGAAAAAAAGTTGGGAAAAAGGGGTATCTTGATTTTAGATATCGTTATGATTAATCTCAATTTCTAAGAAAAAAAGTTTACCTATAGAATTAGGCAATAACGACACTGCCTATAGAGATAGATGATAGCACAATAAACATGACTTGTGAAACATTCTTACTAATTAAGCCCGAAGCACCGAAACACATCACTGTTTGGCACCCCTTGCTCCCACTTTCATCCAAACTTCATATTGTTGTTACTAATGTCTAGTCGCATTCGGTTTAATGACAGATCGGAATAACTCTAACTTATGATGTTTCAAGAAAATATTTCAAGAAAAAAAAAGAGTCTAAATAAATGATAATGTAATCATATTAAAATCCTAATGTCTATAGGAACAAATAGAGGCTCTAAAATTCTCAGGATTGAAAAAAATATGGGTATTTAAGTATTGATATAAAAAAGTAGTCGCACGCAAATCCACTAGGTACATAATTTTTAAATGAAATTTCTAAGCCAAAATTGATAATCAAGTTAATTGTAGAGGAACATATCATCAATTTCATATGCATCTATTTATATATATATGTATATAAACAAACATCCAGAATTATCATATCAATAAAATAACAAATTTTGAATCTATACATGGAGAATATTATAGGGGAAAAAAAAAACAAAGCGAGGAATCCAAAGTTTGGAGTTCCGAAGGAGTGGGCTTGGAACTAGAGGTAGGGATAGAATGCACGCAAGCCAATGAGAAAAGAGCAGATCTAACGCATTTGTAGATCGAACTAACCCATATCGATATCTCCCTCTATGGATAAATAAATACCTTAGAAGCACACAAAAGAAGAGATGGAGACAAAGCATGGGTGGTTGCCTACCTTAGAAGCACACAATATTCAAATCCTTGCGCACTCATAATAACCATAACCACACATTTCAAAATTTAAATTGTATAGGCACCCCTAGGTTTTAGTTACAGATTCAGGATAATATACAACACATTTAATACATATATACATACGGATCGAAAAACATTAGCAGCATTTTTTTTTGGTTAAAGGAAATGGACCTTAAAACTGTTTAGTCACATCCCAAGTAGAAAATTTCGAAATTTTAATGTTGTAAAATACGATCTAATTTGAAGAAGAGTCCCAAGTCGTCAACAAATGATCCCACAGGCAAGGAAGAAAAAGAGAAGTCACCAATAAATGAGACACACGCCCCATGACCATTAAACCAGCAATCAGAGAAATATTGAAGTATAAGCCAACAAACATACCACCAAACCCTCTTCTATCTCTTTCCTCATTATATGATATGATATATATATATATAAATACATATAATTCACCAAAAGCAAACAAAACCCTTTAATTCCTCACCCATCAATGGCGTAAAAGCAAAACACTACCTTGCTTCTCCGGAAATACCAATCAAGATTCAAGAGAGAGACCCCATCATTCGTCCATTAAACAATTCCCAACCCCAACCTTGAATCCTTCATAGATTTCATTCGCATGCACCAAAATATATATCCGCATACCTAATATATATTTTTATCTGGGTGTATGCATCTGTTCACACAAACTAAAATCATTCACCTCCCCTAAATCTCACTCCTCTATCATCGTTTTTAGATGCATGCACCCGCATAGTTGACTCTAATTTCTTTCATGCGGGCATATGTGTGTGTGAGATCATATATGAGTGTTGTATGCAAATTTGTATATGCGCGTGAGGGCACAAGGACAAAAGGGTAAATATTTGTGTGTGAGAGAGAGAGGGAGAAGGAAACAAATAGTATATGGTAAGAGGAGAAGAGAGTAAACCTGGGAAAGGCAGGGGAGAATTTGCTGGAGGGGATATTGGATTGTATCCATGACATCGCGGCGGCGTTGGCTTTCGCTAGGATGACCGATTCTGCTTACAGAGTGGACACCACTTCCAGGCTCGCCCAATGGCGGATCGACAACTTGTCTTCCTTCACTTACCGCAAATCCGACCCTTTCAAGATGGGTCTCTGGAAATGGTATCCCTTTTTCCTCATCTTTCTTTTTCCTGATTCACCTGCCAAATCCAAAACGTGATGATGACGATGAATGGTGTGTTCTGGTGTTCTTGTTTGTTTGGATGGCGAGAGCGAAACTATGGGGATGGATGGGAACCGGGCACGGGTTCTTGTGCTGTGTGCGACTGATGCGATTAATGTTTGATTCCACCTGATTAGAGATTGTGTCTACTGTGATTCCTTCCTGTTTGGGAAAAGCATAGAAAAAGATCTGATTGTAAGGTTCAATATATGTATGATATGTGTGATCGCCCCTTTGAGATGGAACCAGCCCTATCCTTGCGACCTGTGTGATCAACATTTACTCTTATTGGTGGTTAACATTTTGATTCTTTGGTTTAAGGCATTTGTCGGTGGAGAAGAGCAAGATGTTATACGTTAAACTGTACCCAGAGGTGTCGAACATTACCAGAGAAAACCCTCCAATTGCTTCCTTTGTTGCTCGGGTGGTCTCTTCCGCTGGTGAGAGGAAAACTTTGACTCATCCAGGTACAGAATGTTCTTCCCTGATTCAATAAAGCGATTAAGTTTTCATCTACTTTTTATGTATACTTTTAATTCGCAATCTAATTGACACACACTGAATCGATTTCTATGCTTGAATTCAGAAACTAGTGACAAACGGCTGAAGACAAACGAAGATTTTGTTTGGGTGCTTGAAGTTCCGTTAACCGGAAAATTGATCATCGACATCGAGTTTCTCGACTTGAAGATTTTATCCAAAGATGTAAGTGGCATATCACATCTTAATAGCATCTCTATATTGTGGCTAATCAAGAATAGAGGCTGAAATGACAGTGCATCCTTGTAATCTGGTTGTGACTAAGACGCGCTACTTGATAAAAATTGACGAGGAGAACCTAGTTACTCTTGGATCAGACATTTTAAGTAACATTTGGACTGACATATTGGTCTTAGTACGTACCTGTTTAACAACTATTGTTCACCTTGAATGCACAGAGTGGAGAACTTTGTTCTATTTGGGCAGAGGGTTGCGCACAGAAGAAATCAAATGCGACAGCTCTGGCATCCCTTGGAAGGATGTTGACAGAAAGCATTCACACGGACATTGTAATTAATATCTCTGAAGGCAGTATCTCAGCCCACCGAGCTATTCTTGCTGCCAGATCGCCAGTTTTCTACAGCATGTTTTCGCATGACCTGAAAGAGAAAGAACTATCAACGATAAACATCCCCGATATGTCGTTTGCTGCTTGCCAAGCATTTCTCAGCTATATCTATGGTAATATCCGGCACGAAGACTTTCTTACACATAGACTGGCACTCCTCCAAGCAGCTGATAAGTACGACATAGCTGACTTGAAAGAAGCTTGCCATGAGAGCCTTCTGGACGATATTGACACGAAGAATGTACTTGAGAGGCTTCAGAATGCTTACCTGTATCAATTACCAGAACTGAAGGCCAGCTGCATGCGGTATCTTGTGAAGTTTGGTAAAATATTCGACATCCGTGATGATTTCAATATATTCATGCAATGTGCAGACCGAGAATTGATTTCTGAAGTCTTCCATGAAATCCTGAATACCTGGAAAGGGTTCTAGGTCCACAGTAAGATTATGTGTTCTGTTATACAGAGATTTCTATGGTTTATTCTTTGTTTAGGTGGATTTGTTTATGTCTTCATGTACAGGTTATATATTGGGGTTTAACAATGAACCCAGTATTATCCTTGGAAGGATGAAAACAGCAGACATGTAAATTCATGATTGTTTGAATGAAAGATTATTGGTTTGAAGTGTTCAATCATGGGGAATATAAGAGGACGTGATTGAAAACTCAGTCGTGCCTTCTTGTTCCAAGAAAAAGAGCAGCAAAGCATAAATGTAGCTCAGACAATTCTAGTAAAGGCATGCACACAGATAAGCATCTTAAAAAGCAACGTATCCTCTGAAAAATCACATCCTATTGAAAAAAGATTCTCTGAGAATTCTTCCAATTGACATCTTAATCAGGCGCTAGCATCTCATGGGACGCACAAAAAATGTTCCATGGTTATCAAAACAACCAAACTGGTACAGTCTTGGCTAATTTCGGTACAGAAGATGATACCATAATTTCCGATCTAGCATCGGAACCTGGTTCTGACGACGGAAACCGGTGTTTAACCTAGGTAACACAAGCTGAGAACCCAGCTCCATCCAACAATACTACTGCTAATGCGAGTACAAGTTTCCAGGCAAGATTCGGAACAATAAACTTCAAGAACCAGATGAATTAGTCCTCTGAATCAACTACGGATTGAATGCATTCATTAACGCATATATAACGTATTTTCTCTAGTTGTACCTGGAATCAAGCATAAGTTTAAGAAAAACTTCTTACCACATCATAGAATTTATTTCGGCCGGTCAATAAGTTGTGCACTGAAATTCCTGCAGTACAGGACATGATCGCTAGCAATAAAAACCTAAATCAACACGCTAAGATCCATAAATCGGAGATTCAAAAAGGGATTACAAGTGATCACTCATCTAGTGCCTCTGGAAGAATCTCAGACGGAAATACAAGTGATCCGGACACTGAATCTAAGAAGTATATGATCCATATGTTTGTTCAAAGAGAAACAAAAGAAAAAACCGAAGATTCCCAAAAAATTAACCAGGTTACAAGCGCAAGGTCAAGCATAAGGGAACAAAAGATCGCGAAAGAATCAACACACCGAACAACAAACAATTGATCTGCCAGGAAAGAAACTCCACTGCCATAAGCATGCCTAGAAGAGAACAACAAAATACCTGTCTCTGCGACAAACACCATCTCCATTGTTCATCTTCAAAAACCCGAGATTCGCATCTCGAAGAATGTTCTCGCAGAAATTTGAATACGAGAGAGAGAGAGAGAGGGGAGGGAATATTATTTATAAGATTCTGAGGAATATTATTGTTTCCCCGGCAAGTTTTCCATTTTTTTTGAAATTTTTTGAATTTAAACCGACAATTGCCATGTCAGAGGGTTATAGTGGGCCGAGTTATTATGGGCTTTATGGGAATTATGGGCTCGATGGGTTTACTTCTTCTGATGCCATATATATAGCCAAACGTTTACTTCTTCTGATGCCATATATATAGCCAAACGACACCGTTTGGCTCGGCGAGGATAAAAAAACCCTACACTATAAACCTCTGAGATTCGGGAAAGCGCTCGTTCTTGCAGCTTCTCCTTCGCTCTTTCCTCCTCACGTTGGACTTCCCAGTTTACAGATTCAGGTATTTACCTTTTGGAATTTTCTTCTCTGTTCCTTTGAATTTTGATTTAGGGTTTTATCTTCGAAGCTGTAGGAGTTGCTTGGACGATTTTAACACCAAATTTGGATATTGATTTTGCTTGGTTCGTAGAATTCCTCGATGGGTTTGTTCCAAATAGATATTTCTTTAAACCCTTGTATGCATAGGAACATATCGATTCCTTTTATGACCTCGTAGATTGTCTTGATTACAGAATAGGGTTCGTGCTTTCTTTGTATTTGTAGGGA